AAAAGATCAAACAGCATCATTAGCATCATTGTCGGGAACAACAGCTATTGAAGTGGCAAGTTGAAAATTCCCAATGGCTTCTAACATCAATTGTGTGTGTACACCTTCCAAGGGCATCATTCTGCGAGCCCTTCAAGCATGTTCATCCTTTTGAGTGATGGCTGTCTCATATTCACCTTGGGTTGCACTGCTGGTTGGTGCTTCCTGAAGCTATAGTTTTACACAAATCACGATCATAATTGCTTGCGGACACAAACAGCCTTAAACATCATTGCCCTGGAACATCAACTATTGAAGTGGCAGGGCGAAATCCCAATGGCCTCAATTGCCTGTGTACACCTTCCAAGGGCATCATTCTGCAAGCACTTCAATATTAATCTTGTTGACTGATGGATGTTTTATTGTTTAATTCATCGTCAGTTGTCCTGTGGTGCTGGTGGGTGCTTCCTGAAGCTACAGTTTAGCACAACATCACCATCATCATGGCCTGCGGACACAAACAGCTGTAGGTTGGCAACCTACAGCCAATCAAAAAATGAAGTAATAATTATTCGGAATCAATAACCATTTAAGTGGCAGGTTGAAATACCAATGGCTTCTGACATCAACTGCGTGTGTACACATTCCAAGGGCATCATTCTGCAAGCACTTCAATAATACTCCTTTTGACTGATGGATGTCTCATTGCTTAATTCATCGTCAGTTGTCCTGTGGTGCTGGTGGGTGCTTCCTGAAGCTGCAGTTTAACACAACATCACCATCATAATTGCTTATGGACACAAACAGCTATAGGTTGGCAACCTACAGCCATGTCAAAAAGCATTTTCAGCATCATTGCCCGGGAACATCAACTATTGAAGTGGCAGGTTGAAATCCCAATGGCTTCTGACATCAACTGCGTGTGTACACCTTCCAAGGGCATCATTCTGCAAGCACTTCAATATTAATCTGTTTGGCTGATGGATGTCTCATTGTTTAATTCATCGTCAGTTGTCCTGTGGTGCTGGTGTGTACTTCCTGAAGCTGCAGTTTAACACAACATAACCATCATAATTGCTTGCGGACGCTAACAGCTGTAGGTTGGCAACCTACAGCCCATCAAGAAACATAATCAGCATCATTGCCTGGGAACATCAATAATTGAAGTGGCAGGTCCCAATGGCTCCTAACATCAACTGCGTGTGTACACCTTCCAAGGGCGTCATTCTGCGAGCACTTCAAACATGTTCATCCTTTTGACTGATGGATTTATCATTGTTTGATTCACCTTCAGTTGCACTGTGTTGCTGGTTGGTGCTTCTGAAGCTACAGTTTAATACAACATTGAATCATAATTGATGGCGGACAGAAGCAACTTAACTGCAGGTTGGCAACCTACAGCCTATCAAAAAACATAATCAGCATCATTGCCCGGGAACAGCAACTGTTGAAGTGATAGTTTGAAATCAAGCATGCGAGCATTTCAAGTTTGTCAAAGCAGCATCACCAGCATATTTTCTTGCGGGCACAAACAGCTTAAGCTGTAGGTTGGCAACCTACAGCCGATGAAAAGAGCATACATTGATCATTGTCCAGGAACATCAACTATTGAAGTGGCAAGTTGGAGTGCATTGCATCATTCTGCGAGCACGTTAAGCACGTTCATCTTTTTGACTGATGCTCCATGGAGCTTGGGCAAGAGGGTTTTGGATTGAAGAAATGTGAAGAAAACGTGGTGAAGAAGCATCACAGTCGGGTTGGGTGGAATCCTAATTTCGGCGAGTTGGAGGATCGTCGGGGGTTTGGCTGCCAATTGGTGTTCGGGTCCATCTTCATCTTTGCCGGGGTGCTCTTGATGATCTCGATCAGCGCTGCAAGCATTGTTCTTGCCTTGTGACTTGTTTTTGGAAGTTGTTGGCAGGAGCAGATCTCAGATGCCCTGGATGATGACTACTACATCTTCGACTGCCCAGGGTTTGCTACTCAGCTATTTTGTCGTCGCTGCTTGCATTTTAGACACAAGATGCGAGGCAGATCGAGCTGTATTCGCACCTGCCTGTCATGAGAGAGGTTGTGGACATGTTGCAGAATCAGGACAGGAAAAGAAAAGATCGAACTCAGACGAGCCACAGTTTTGAACTTCCTGAAGTAATTCTTCCACCAAAACTCAACCAGCTGGACCAACCGCTGTTGCAGTGAAGCAACATCTACAAATTGCTCACCCCATTGTTCTTCACATCCAAGTCGACCAAGTCGACCGGGCTCCTGAACTCCTCAGCTGCTCACCGAGCCGAGGGGCTCCTCGCCTCTCGCCGTGCCTCGCGCCGCTGTGTCCCTCGAGGACTTTCGCGTCGCCGGGGTCTACTGCATCGATGTGAACTTCATCGAGGATGCGGAGGGTCCCGAGCACTGTCCCGTCAGGGGACGTCGTGACGGCGACGAGGGAGTTCACGTCAGACATGCAGACGAAACCACCAACAGACCCTATGGAAGTCCCTAATGGACCGGACTAGGATACGGAAGCTGTTGAGTAAGTTTGTTGATGTTTATTCTTTGTTTTTCTCTTTTGGAAGAGGTGCTTTCTGAAAGAGGCAACAAACCCAACAGTGTTGGTATCTTTTTGTTGTCAGAGAATGTCAGAGGTCAGTTCGAGCATGTGACAGGGCTGATCCGATCCAACACTGAGTTTGGGTCAGAAGACGGACCGAGCTTTGATCAGGTTTGAGCTGATGTACAATACATCGCCATGGCGCCATAGTATTTGTTGTGGTAGTTTAAGATAGTTTAAGTATGTTTAAGTAGTTTTAAAGTATTTCTTGTGCCTAGTTGGAGGATGCCAGAAGTCTTTGTTCAACACTCTCCCCACATCATTTCACTGCTTGGCCCAACCTTTGGCCCCCCTAGCAGGCAGTGTGGGACACATGTGTGTCCTACCCGGGTCCCTTATATAGCTGTGCCCCACAGCTTCAGGATGCCTCGAAGTTCCTCTCCGGCGCTAGGAGCTCGGGTGGATCCTTACCCCCCCCCCCACAGCTTGGCACCGAGAAAAAGGGAGCCCAAAAAGGGTCCCATGGGCCAAAACGCTTCGATCGGTCCCCTCGATCCCATCAGTCCCCATGTCCAGTGCGTCACCATGTCGAGTGCGGGGTTGTCGCCATGGAAAACCACGCCATGTGGTCGATCCTCTTCCATCCGAGTTGCCTGGAACTGAGTGATGGAGCTTTCAGCAGTGAGGCCTTGTCTGCGCTCACTGCAATGGTGAATCTGGAGCTGTCTGAGCCCCAGGGGGAGCCTTGCTTTGTTTTTTTCGATCAGAGTATGAAGTCTAAAGAAAGCCTATAAAAATTAATGTGGTAGTTGATGAAAAAGGGTAGTGACTGTGTTTGCATCTATATATCTATATGCTTTTGGGATTCTAGATCAACCACCAAAGTAACATCGCGCGATCCGTTAAGATGCCACGCATGATCCGCAGGCCGCACATCAACGTGTTGACCAAGTGCGATCTGCTTCCACCCAATGTCATAACCCTGGGAAGAGGGTGTCAGTTAGTCATCATGTTTGGCTGTTGGAAGGAGGATGAAGGAGGAATGTGGTCCAAGTTGGGATGACATGTTGTGGGGATTTCTTTGAAACGCCGTAAGAAAAGGAGCGCAAGACGTGAAAGAGTTTGTACCATTTTGATCTCTTTTCATATGACATGTAGCCGCTGGGCGCCAGGGCTCCCCCTCGTGTCGAGGCCGACGTGGAAAGGTATACCGACGGCGACACGCAGGCACGACGCGTCGGACACATCAGACACATGCTAAAGGAGGTGTTTAGATATTTGTTGGTGTGGCATTCACCTTCCAGGATTCCACCTTAGTCACTTTCGCGAGTTCGCATCCCTAACTTCGAGATCGGACGAAGGAATATGTGGCAAGTGAGGATCGAACTCACGACCTTAGGATTATGAGACCTACGCGCTACCAACTGCACTATTGCCACTCTGGTTTTTGGAGCTTGCTAGCTTCAGAACCGCTTTGCAGGCAAGTTAACCACCCCCAAACTGATCCTCACAGCTCTGCCGCCAGAATCCCTCAACCACCTGAGCCAAACGCTGCGCCACGCAGGCTATCTTGGCGGACTTGCGGAAGTCTACCCACCCCAGGCGACGGGCGACGCATGAGATTAATGATTACCGAAAGCGCGCGTGCCGAAATGGGACAGAATAGAACTCCACTCTTATCAAAAACTGAGCATCGAGCATGTTTGCAGGCATTGCCGGGCCAACCAATGGTCATTCAACAGTGTTTACCAGGCAATGACCATCAATGACCAAGGGCCCTTGGAAAAAACAGACTCTACTCACGCTGCACCCTGGTCGTTTGTTTTGATGGGACTTCTTTAAATTTTCTTTTGTCGCGGGATCAATCTGCATAGTCAAACAATTCAACAATTTGCATCTCCATCTCAAGGTTTCGACTGCTGAATGAAGCCTTGGGCCAGCTTTTGGAGGATTACTCCTTGGCGCGGGGGCCAAAAAGAAGATGTGGTCGAATGAAGCAGGTGCTTTATGTTCCGTCCATACCTCCTTCGGCCACGAGACTTCTATGTGTTAGTATATGTTTAAGATTCTGTCTGGTTTTTGGTCATGTGTCTCCAAATTGACCTGCAGTCACAACCTGAGCTGACGTGCCAGGTTAGCTTTGTGATGCTGAATCGGGAAGATGAGGAGAGCGCTGTGCAAAACTGCGCGGTTGAGATGCGACGCTGCGAGGTCGCTCAACAACTCAACAACCGACGCAGAACCTTTTCAGGAATGAGAAAGAGGTCAAGCACGCAGACAGTGTCATTTTCCGCTGAAGAGCGGAGGACTCCATTGAGCTTTGTTTGGCCCACGTGAATCATTGTCCCGCACTCGGAGAGACGACGTGAAGTCCCCGGAGTCTCCGGTGCTCCGTGCCGAGACGAGCATGTGACTTACAAAAGACCTCCAATGA